TAGGTCTCTGCATAATCCTAGAAGATCTATGTAGCAAGTCTCATTGAAATGTGATGATTACTACTTGAAATATCAAAAGCTGAAAATTAATTAATTATGCAAATCAGGTAATTAATATGTACTGATATTACCCAAAAAACTATCAGGTCTGTGCAGTGTCCTATGACATCTATGTACCAAGTTTTATTGAAATGTGATGATTAGTACTTGAGATATCAGTGGAAAAGCCGAAAATTGATTAATCATTATGCAAATTAAGTAATTAATATTGCACAGATTTTTACCCAAAACTAATCAAATCTGCGCATTAGTTTGGAGCATCTGTGTGCCAAGTTTCATCAAAATCCAATGAGTGGTTCTTTAGATATCAGTGGAAGAGTCATGAAACAGCCAAAAATCAGCTAATTATCATGCAAATTAGGTAATTAATATGCATGGATTTTTACCAAAACCTAATCAAATCTGCGCATTGGCCCAGAGCATCTATGCACCAAGTTTCATCAAAAACTGATGTATGGTTCTTGAGATATCAGTGGAACAGACGGACACACACTAACTGCAAAGACTCCCTTTTTGTTCTTCACACACGGGAGTCAAAAACTTATTTGCTTTTGTGGGGGTTTGACCTCAAAAAGTTTCCGTCCTACAAAAACGATATTTTTTAATGAAGTCAAACAAATCGTGGAGTATTTGTAATTCGTTTTTTTTTCTATCCAATTATTGACAAATAACAGAAACTGAAAAAAATACATCCAAGACGAGAAAATGGTTTGGTCTGAATGTGTCAAATGAGGTCAATTTCAGGGCATGGACCTAGAGCATGTGCAGAACCCAGAAAAGTAGTTTGCGCATGCGTATATTATTAACTCTTGAACGACTTTTTAAAAAAAAAATTATGGATTTGTATTAAAAAATGAGAAAGGTGATGATGACATTTATTACAGGAGAACATGCATAAAATGTGTAATGACAATTTCATTGTAGTACCTACCTTTGTAAATTAAATGTACTTGTTAAAGTCTTTTTACACCCACCCGACAACCAACTGCTATGCCATACTACTGTCCTATTATCAATTTGTATTTAATGGTGAATGTAGTCCGACGCCATGATCAATATTTATCAATTAAGTTTCAGTGGGGGGGGGGGGGGAACTAAAAGAATTGAGTTTTTTATCCTACATCGATCTTTTGACGTCTTCCCTTAATTCTAAGATTGTAGCTTTGTGTTGGTTTAAACAAATTGAAATAATGGTACTTGCAAAACATTTTTTAAACTTATTTTTTCCCCCCAGGCACAATTGCCAGTCTGGACTTTACTGAAAAAGTGCAGTCCATTGATGTCACCGACGCTAGACATATGGAAACGTTCAAGATGGAAGGAAAAACTTATTTGGCGACAACGTCGTATGGATTTGGAATAAATTACTGTATCACCAGTGGTATTTATGAATGGAATGATGTACAGAGTCAATTTGAAATAAAATGTAAGCTGCTCTTTTCGACTGTCTAGATCATAACAATGCATCAACATTGTTTCATTGAAGCCGATCCTGGGTATTGTACAGATTAGTGTCTTGCATGGTGGTACTTTTAGTCCCATTTCAGGAACTATTTGGGTTCAGTCTATCGGCCATTCTTTCACCAATCACAATCAAGCTTAACACATAGCCACCAATCTGACATGTATGGTCTATTTTTTAGCTTCGCTGTCGACAGTCAACCCAGCGGGGCTGTTCATATTAGTGATTGTCCATTGTCGTCAACTTTACAATTTCAACTTCTTTTTCGAAGCACAAGTCAGAATGTGTTTAAATTTGATATGCAAGTACCTTGGATGGTTCTCAGATTTGTTCATTTTGTAATGATATCTTCAATTCTCTAATTTTGGTGAATATTTGTCATTTTTGGTAAAAAGCGATATTTTTGAATTGCGTTGATACTATACATATTGTTCATTTTCTAATGATATCTTCCATTATTTTTTAATTGAAATGTGCATTGCTATCTCAGCCGACAGGCTGCTTGTTTTTTTTATTTCTGTCTATGCCAATTTCTTACTAATGTATCGCCTGATTCACTTAAACACAGTGCCAATAAAAACGTGAGGAAGGTACTGTGCAATCTATTTGTCTGATGGACAATATCAATACTCGGCAGTTTTAATGTTGTAGATGACAATGTGTTATAACATAAAAAAAAATAATTAGGTTGCAACATTGACAGCATTGAATGTTTCTGATTGCAGGGAATGAACAGACCAATCGTGCTACACGATGGCATGCCTTCACAATAGAAGACACTCAATTCCTCTTCATTGCTAATGGTGGAACTAAAACATGCTCCAATGGTAAGTTGATAGCTTTGTAAATCTGAATGTATAGAAATTTGACTGGCAATGTTTTAATTAGGCTGAGCATTTGTAAACACATTGAGCTAATGATTCTACCACTTTAACTGTAAAGATGCGAGAAACATCCAAGAAAATGTGAATTTTTTTTTCCAGTTATTTTTATTCACTGCCCTCCCAGTCTCTGGCATATATGGTAGTCCATATACGTAGTGGTTACCATATCCGTCTTAACTCCAGCAATCCTACACTTGCGATTTTGTTTGATTTTCATATTTCTGATGATGAAAATTGTGAAGACGGTTAATTGAATGAATCTTAGAAATGCCTGGACCAATCACAATCAAACTTCACACATACATCATGCATGATATTATACCTATGCACGTCAATTTGTTTCATGATCTGATAGAATGGTGGCCATTTTTGTGCTAAAAATCCTTAAAATCAAGCATTTCTCTGCTGTTTACAGATGGATTTTGTTCAAACTTGGTACATACATTAGACATTACAGGTTCCTAATGCCCGTCATTTATTTTTCAGATCGGATACAAAATGGCTGTCTGGCGGCCATTTTGTTTTTATGATTGGGCTTCTAGAGCCATATCTCTGACTTGCTTTGACTGATTATGTTCAAATTTTATATATTAGTTATACGTCATGTTATATATATACATGTATTCAAAACGGTTGATTTTGAATGCTGTTCCAGAGCAAAAACTCTCAATACTCGTTTGACGATCAGATACAAATGTCAATCATTTTAATGTTAAAAAATCATATTTCTGACAAGGTTATATTCCAGCTATATTACTACAAACAAAACTATACATATATATCTTAAATTTAATAACTAACTGGGACTGTGCCATGCATGGCTTATTTTCATTAATATTTGTAAAGCATGTAGTGTATTTCATTAATACTACATATCCACTCAGTTTAGTCTTTTGCAAAAATGGGATATATTAAACAAGTTTTAATATCATTAAATGCAGCATAAGGTTTATGTTTTTGCAGTTGATTACTTCATCAGTGAGCTATTGGCGTACAATACAACAGTAGACGATTTTATAAGTGTGCAGTTTATAGAATCGTATGGATCAGTAGATGCCGATACGGTAGAAATTGATGGGTATACATATCTAGCTGTAGCCAATACTATATCATCTTACAGTCACGACTTTCTATTCAAGTACAATACATCATCTGGACAATTCGATTTTTATCAAGAATTTGAAACTGAAGGCAAGTACTGTTAATATTTGAGTGACAAGTTGCATAATCAGATGTAAATGTAATTTACCAGAATATTCATTGAGCTGGAAGTCTCCATGGTTTTCAGCAGATCATGTGTACTGCTTCAAGAGTTGTGCTTGCATGTACTGAACCAGTTAACAGTGCTTGCTGCTATTTACATGGTGAATCTATTTTAGCATTCAAGCATTTTTTTGTATCTATATTAGTACAAATTCATTTCCAAATTCATTCTCTGCCCTGCAATCAGTTTGTCACATTAGTGTGTTAATACTTTGATCCTTCCACTATTGAATTATTTTATAATCATATCTCTAGATATGCTAAGATAGGACTCAGGAGATTTTAATACTACAGTATGTTTTGTTAACCAGTTTAGTCATTTCATAAGGGAATGAAAGGATTGATGCTGCTTAACCAAAGAGTAGATTTGCAGATCTTATAAAATACCCTACACCTTGTGAAAAGAGTATTCCATGAAAAAAAACTATTCTTGTACACTGTATTGTTGATGCGTAGCACAAACATCTGTCCAGTTGTGTATGGGTAAAATACGGAATAGTACATTGTGCAGAAAATCGTGGGATACTTTGCAAGCTTTTACTGAAACCTGTAAATTTTGTACGACTTAGCAGATATTCAGCATTGAAAAATGCACACATCTTATTTGTCAATATCAAAACTGATTGTTTATAAAACCAGGTCCTATTTCATTACATTGCATGTACGTACATCGGAATTTATTTTGATGTAAATGTAAACAACAACCCCCCCCCCTTTCAAGTACATGCATCCCGCTGCATGGTAATTTAAGTCTTGACGGAAATTACTTTCTTTTATCAGCCACTGGTGGAGTTGAATTTGTCACCATCCTTGATGATACTTACCTGATATTTGGCATTTCTGAAAGCAGCACAGAGTCGCCTGTCTATTGGTTCAACGGCGTAAGTTTTATTGTTTTGGAAATGCACGTTTCATGAGATTGGGAGAAAGATGCTGCCTTTGTGCTGATGAAAAGCATTTCATAGTTGAATCATTTTGACGAAATTGTGTTCAGTGTGCTATATTGTTAGGCATGCATAATTCTGATTAGACATTCCCGAACGCTTCCAAAATAACATGATTTTATGATTGCTGGATTTTTTTTTACACTATCAGATGATGTACCGGTATATACTTGATTAGCACAACGCTGAACTATTTTTCTTCATAGAAAA